GCTGCTGAAGCATAACTTTTACACCTCAGTTCTGACTATTCAAAAGCTCTCCCAACCAACCATGCTCCTTCTTCTGTAATATGCAGCATCCAAAACCTTTCTGTTGCTATTCCAAATGCATAAGTTCAACTCACACAAAAAATTTGTCTTTGCTGATCAATATTACTTGTCAAACTTTTATGGTTTAAAACTCTTCATGGTCACATTCCTCTGTAATGTTATGAGCTCCGTCAAACTTTCTATTCCTCCATATGACCTCTTCTGGATCTACTCTGTCTGATCTTCTATTCTAGTATCTTCTTATTTGAGTCATTGATTTTTAGAATATCCCTTTGAAGTGCCTTTGGATGATCTTCTATGTTAAAGACATAGTCATACAGTCATAGAGATTTCCAGCACAGAAACAGGCCCTTCAGCCCATCACCACAATGCCAGTCAAAAACAATGCATTGAATATAGGAGTTGGGAGGTCATGTTGCAGCCATACAGGATATTGGTCAGGCCACTTTTAGAATACTGCATGCAAATTCTGGTTGCCATTTTATTGGAATGTTGTTAAACTTGAGGGTATGCAGAAAAGATTTACAAGGATGTTGCCAGGACCGGGGGGTTTGAGCTACAGGGAAAAGTTGAATAGGCTGGGGCTTTTTTCCTGGAGTGTCGGAGGCTGAGGGGTGATTATAAAATTATGAGGGGCATGGATAGGGTGAATAGCCAAGGTCTTTTTCCCAGGGTACGGGAGTCAAAAACTGGAGGGCATAGCTTTAAGGTGAGAAGGGAAAGATTTAAAAGGGACCTGAGGGGCAACTTTTTCATGCAGAGGGTGGTGTGTGTATGGAATGAGCTGCCAGAGGATGTGGTGGAGACAGGTACAATTACAACATTTAAAAGGCATCTGGATGGATTTATGAATAGGAAGAGTTTAGAGGGATATAGGCTAAATGCTGGCAAATGAGACTGGATCAATTTAGGTTAGCAGGTTGGCGCAGACAAGTTGGACCAAAGGGTCTGTTTCCATGCTGTATAACTCAATGACTCAATGCTTCCTATCCTAATCCCAGATTATAATGAATTTAAATTTCACTACCTGCCATGGTGGGATTTGAAACTCCGTTCCCCAAAATATTAGCTGAGGGGTCTAGATTACCAGGCCAGTGAAATTACTATGCCACTGCCTCTCCAAATGCCATTGATTGTAATGGTAATACTGTGTTATATTTAATTTCATGAGCTTCCTTTATGAATGCTCATTGGCTTATGGAACAGACTTTCCCAACAGCAATGTCCATTTCTATGGATCTAAAACTGCCATTGGAGGATTCACCAGCCCCCACCCTCAATTCACCAGGACCCTGCACATTAATAAAAATGATCAGCGGCTTTACCTCCTGGAATACAAATTGTTGTGTTCATTTGAAATTTGGCATTCTTGTGTTTGCCCTGATGAGTGTGAGACAAAAAGCTTTTGTAATATGTCTCTCTTTTCAACAACATAAAATATCCATAATCAGTCTTCAAGATCAACTCACCTTTCCCTCATAGGCTCAGCACAGGAACCTCCAGTGGTGTTACTGTCAAATCTGGTCAGCTGCCAACCCTCAGATTGTGCTTCCAGAGTGGAAAAGTGGGCTATTTTAATTGGGAATAAGACTATATTTTAAAGTCAGCCCCTGTGGCAGGTGGAACTCTAACCTGGTCCTTCTAGCCCAGAGGTAGTGTTGCCACCACAGTACCCTAACTGTCTTTAATTGAATAGTAGTCCCAGCTGCAGATTGTTAGTTGGTTATCACCACTGCCTTCTATCTGAAAGGACTTGAGACTGACCTTCAATCTCACTGGTAAAATTCTGGCTTAGGCAGAAAGAAAATATGAAAAAGGCATGTGAGAGATGGGTTGCGAGGACACAAAAACAGGAAGATACAGTATGACAGAACAATGATTGTAGAAGGCAGTGCAATTGCTTGAGAAAGAATATGAAGAAACAATTGAGAGGTAGAACTAGAGTATAAAATAGATCTAAAATAAATAGTTGTGAACAAAGAATATCAGTGATGTGATAGGTTTCAAAATTTCTTACATGGTAACATTTTAGTTACTGGGGATCTATTAGGTAATATGACCACAGACTGATTTTTTTTTTAGTGATTAGTCTTATAGTCATTGGTATAGATAGTTAATTTAGATTTTAAGTTCAATCTACATTTAGTGAATTGATTCATTTATGTTGAACTTTTAATCAATCAAAAGTTGAGATGAAAAAGGAGAACAACCCACCACTTATTTTCAGACAATTATTTCATAAAAACTGGGTAAGCACTTTTAAGGGGTAATTCAAGACATTTCACAATGCGATTTTATAAGTGAAAAGGATCTCAGAAGTTCTTTTATCATAAAGATTCCCAATTATTGATTATAACTTCACTGCTTTTGCAGAATCTTACTATGGACAAATGGCCAAGATTCCGAGAATGTAGCCTGGATTTTCATTGTCTCTAAAACACATTGGGGTGTCCTGAAGTTGGGACACATAGAATCCCTATAGTGCAGAAAGAGGCTATTTGGCCCATCAAGTCTGTATCAAACTTCTGAAGAGCATCCCACCCTATCTTCCTAACCCTGCGTTTGCCATGGCTAATCCACCTAGCCTGCACATCGATGGACACTATGGGGCAATTTAGCACGGTCAATCCAGCTTACCTACATATTTTTATGACTGTGGGAGGAAACCCACACAGGCACAGGGAGAACATACAACCAAACAGTCACCCAAGGCTGGAATCAAACATAAGTTCCTGGCATTGTGAAGCAGCAATGTGAATTACTGTGCCCCTAGTGTAGAGGGGTGTTTTATAAATGCAAGTCTTCTTTATTTTCTGTCAGGCATATACTCAGCACAAACATACTTTGCAATAATTTGTGTTGCTATGTTAATCTTAATTTTAGTATAATATTGACAATATTCAACCAATCCATTCTTGTAAAACTCAGAACAGAGTGTTCAACATTAGATGTGATTCATGATTGGAAAGCACTTATTAGTGAGCCAAGGTGTACATTCACAACTAATGTAAGATCCAGTTATTAGTGGGTTACTGATGCTTGTTAGAACTACATAAATTCATACCAGAGCCCAATTCTCTGCAGGACAAAAAGAATTTGACCAGACACTGCACCATTTCAATTAGAAAAAAACTTAGGAGACACAATTCCTTGATGCATTCCCTATGTCAAGTCATGAACAAGCAGCGTCAACAAGCCTTTTTGTTTTCAAAGTTTAAAGCAAGAGCTTTGTGGTTACCATACACTGGTGCCATCCCCATGTCAATGCTTTGACTCAGCAGAGCTCAGTTGCCATCCAATCATCATCTTGTTTCTCATGCAATATAAATTGTTGTTCCCCTTGAAATTTGGTATGCTTGCATCTGTCTTGTTGAGAGCAAGGTATAAAAAACTTCCACTACAGGTCTCTTCTGCAGCTAAACTCAACTTCTTTACCACAAAACATATTTATTTTCATATTTAAGGAAGTAGATTGAGTCCACCATTGTTTAGACAGTCTAATAAATGCCAACCATAAAATATCATAATGTGGACCTTTCTTTATTCAATACTAAAACTAATTGTAACATAAGTCATCTTGAAAGCAAGGAAGATTCTAGGTCTATGTAGTGCATGGCGGATTAGTATAAGAGTATTCTTAGATGTCTTGACCAAGACATTACACATGTTGTTTGCCATTAATTTATTCTACATTTTCCCAGTGTACCTTGAAAAGGCAAAATATCATATTTTCTAACAAATGAAGAGTTTTTTTTAACCACACTAAGTTCTCTTTTCTCCTGATTTCACTATAACCTGCCTGCAAGCATTGCTAGATGAAGTCACATTAACAGCAGACAGTCGAATTCTCCTCTTCCTTTAACTTCGTTTCAATCGATTTATATTTAACGGGGTCTTTATTGTAATCATCAGTTTTCTGTACAGAAGCAATTAGCTCCATTTTCCTCATTAGTTGCTTTATAATTAACGACTTAACACGATTACTGTCCTGTCGAACAGCAATCTAAACGCTTAATGAAGGCAGCTTTCAGTTTCCCCTGTATTTAAATTTTATAAATTCCAGTTTAGCTTGATTGTTCAGCATTATAATTTGAATGAAAAGCAAACAATAGATAGGTACATAAAGCCTATTGTCATAGTCTGTAATTTCTGCGCCTGATATAGAAAATTAAGAATACGAATTTACAACATTTCTACGTGTGTTAATGAAACAAATAGTCGATATGGGTATCAAGGCATACAACAATTTGTGCAATTGCAACATTAACACCGAAAAGAATATAATTGACTTGAACTATGCCAAGTTTTTCAGCAGCAGATTCATTCTATAGAAACTCGTGTAAACACTACAACCCTGAAAAATAAAGATGCAACCATTAAGTAACTACTCCCAACAAAACCACAATAAAATGATTGCAGACTCAGCATTGCTTGCAACCTGTGTTAAAATGTGAAATGTTCCGTGAACGGTATCCACAATGGCATGTGTGATCTGAAACTAAAGTAACGCTTAAAAGTAACACGAGGAAATTGCATGTTTGATTGCAATTCTGAAGCTTATTGTCCTTATAATTATAGTATAGGTTAACGGCTTTGAGGAAAGCTCCCAGAGGGAACTCAGATCTCTGTCGAGTAAACAGCTTTTTCGAAAATTTACCATTGTCCTTTAAGAAATTGCTGTGCCTCGTTGGCACATCTCGTTTTTGTATATACTGTCTGTTAGAGGTATGTCATTTGGGTTATTAGAGATGAATTAGTTTTTTACAAAAGGGACGCTTAGTTTTAACCTCACGCCTGTCCACCCGAGTGCTGACATACAGCCACCCACCTCGATTTCCCTTGACTTTCTTAGCCATGCATTTCACTTCAGCGCACTTTAATTATTCGAATTAAAGTAAAAGCCCATTCACTTGTCCCTCAATCATGTCACTGCTTGTCTGTAATAGAGAGGTCATCGTATTCATTACCGAGTCCAACCACTTTCATTAGTTTTGTTTTGGACGACGATTGGTTGCTCAAGCCCAGTGGGTCCAGGTGATGTCATGGTGTGAGTCAAGTAAAGTTGTCAAACTGCGCCGAGAGCTGAAGGAGGAGGCTAATTCGTCGGAACTGGAGGGCCAACATTTTGGTGCTTCTCTATAATGAGAATGGCTGAAGAAGTGCTGCCAGGTGGTGGACGGGGAGACAAGTTAAAACGCGATGAATTCGCAGATCTTTATCAAAATCACATCAGTTCTGTCAATTCAACTACAGGTGAGTAATTCCCAGGAATATAATTCCTGAATTCGCACCGGAAACACTTCTGGAACTAATTCCAGTTATTTCATGCTTTCATTGCTATATGGTCACTGTGAATTAGTCACTTAGTTTCCAGTCATAGAATGAATATTTCTTATGGTATTGAATCCATTCAGCCAACACAAGTTCGTATAAAAACCTTTAAATGGCAATGTCTTGATGTGGAGATTCATGGCAATATGATACAGGTTTTCCTCTGTGTACAGACACGTACATTTAATGGAAAGAAACGTACTGAAAAGTTGATGCTTAACATTACTTGGAAAAGGCAAACTATCTCGATTATATTTTACCCTGCCTACAGACCCAGTTTAAAATACAAATCAAATTTATATTTTTCCCCTCATAGGCAATTTAAAGATTAAGCGGAAATAATTACAACTCTACAACCGTTAATCTAAAATAATAGTTTGCGTTTATTATTGTATCCCGTTTGATTAAATAACTTATTAAAATAATACATTAAACAACAAGTTGCAGACTTATTACCTGCTCTGAAGAAGGGTCAATGGACTCGAAACGTTAACTGTTTTCTCTCCACAGATGCTGCCAGACCTGCTGAGTTTCTCTAGCAATTCTGTTGTTTTGTTTCAGATTTCCAGCATCCGCAGTTCTTTGTTTTATATTAATACAGAATTATTTTGTTTCCTGGAATATTAAACTCTATCTGGACGATAATTTAGTGGAGATAATAGAATTTCAGTTGTACAACTAATTAGAACAGCAGGGAGTTCCATCCGCTATCTTCTGGAAATCTTTCTCAGTGTTGGCCAAGTACACCAGTTTCAAATCCTGTATAGATTTCCAGTGCAGTGAAGAAGCACACAATTCTTCCATAAACAAGCTGTATTTCACTTTATAAATTATAATAAAGCAATTGATTTGAGTCACAGATCCTATCACCTGGAGGAAGTAAAGAAGTTAGATCAAAATAGGCTCTGATGAGAATTATCGGATGTCCTTCATCAAACATGGAGAAGGAAAACTACAATTGTGGCTAAATTAGGGGAAAAACCGATAATCTCACTCCAGATGCGAGTCAGGCCGTTTTAACAGGTGGGGGGTTCGGACATGCTGATGTACAAGCGCTTCTTTGTTAATCTGTCGCCTGCAAATATTAGGGAGCCCTGGTCTAAGGCTTCACTCCCCTTCAGGAAAAAGGGACACACGCCGCTCAATATTTTAATCCAAATGCACTGGTGTTCGATACGAAACATACATTTGTACCTTTTCACATGGAGATTATTAGTGCCGATATGAATATTAATTTATACCACCTTGTAGTTTGGAATTAATATTCCATTTAATATCATAGTAACCACCTCGCGGCTGTGTTTTCTTGTGTAAAAATATGCTTGTACAATTTTCTGATTTTTAAAAAAAAATGTTCCTTTTTTTTAAAGAATACCTAAAACTTGCACGGCTTAGATATACCTGCTTGAAGACCGCTTGAGTGAAAATCATTGCAAAAACAGGCATATTGTAAAAGTTGTTTAACTTTCCTTATGTAATTATACGAGTTGTATAATGTTCTACAACAGAACAGTGTATATAATTTAATCATCAAAATTGAAGCCCAATTAGACACTGGACATTATCATTTACTTAGCGTTGTAGGTCAACAGCACACGTAACGCCAAGTAGGTGTACGTTCAAATATTGTTTAATTTACTAAGGACTTCACAATTTATTTACACAAAGATATTGATGGAATTATTTTCCCTATTCATTTGTTATTGGGCATAGATATGACTGGGTTCCTTCTATGCTGTTTGAAACTACGTAAGAATCCGCCGGGACTTTTAAAATAATTGCACTACCAGTTTCTATCAATACAATTTGAACTCATTATAAAATTCAGAACAATAAATGCAATATTAATGAGAGCCAGTTAAAGATTGCAAAAGACTAAGTAATCTAACATGTCGCTATAATTATCTAAAGAAATAATGCCTTAGATTTGTTGATTAAATTATTAATTTGAATAAAAGTGTCCTTCACCTTAACTAGAAAGTTAAAACAAAGTTAAATTTAGATAAACTATTATTAATGTTAGTGTTATAGGAAGGCACAAATGCATATCTTATATCAGCTCATTGTTAAAGAAATATGAATGTGAAGAGATGAAGACAAACAAAGCATAATGTCTTGTCATTTATCCCTTTTGTATGTGATAGGTAACAGTTACACACTAGGTATTGTGTAACTTTTTCAAATGATTTTGAAATGTGAAGTTAGTAAATAAAGATAAGAATTTTTTTAGCAATGCATAATACAACACAAGTATACTAAGTCTGATAATATATTAACTATTCTTCCAGTAATTAGTTAGGGTTAGATATTTGAAGATAATACATCTTTTGTCTTATTTTGTAATGATACCTTAACTTGTATTCATACAACCTTTTAATATAATGTTCCAAGGCTGTTCACAAACTAAACAATGTGAGTTACGGAATAAAATAATTGGTAAAGTAACCAAAAGCTTGGTCAAAAATGTAGGATGGGAAAATTTTAAATTGGAATGGAAATCAACTTACAGGAACTTGTATTTTATAAAAAATGAATACTAGTGGTATTCAGAGGGAATTTATTTTATTTTCAAAAAAAATCTAGTTTATAATTTGACTCAGCAAATGTTTATTCTCAAAATAATCTTTCAGATCAGAATAAATTGATGCAAACATTTAGCCAAAGATAACACAGCATTTCACTGATGACTAGAACCTGCATATATAACATTAAGTTTCTTGGGTCTCTTGACAGGATAGATGCAGAGAGGTTGTTTCACCTTGCGGGAGAGTCCAGGATTACAGAGCATAGTCTCAGTAAGGGATTTAAGACAGAAGAGGAGGAATTTCTTCTCAGGATAGTAAATCTGTGGAATTCTTAACTGCAAAGAGTTGTCAAGATTATATTGTTAAGACAGATCTTTAATTAGTAAAGGAATCAAGGGTGATAGGGATAAGGCAGGAAAGTGGACTTGATGAATATCAAATCAGTCAATCATCTCATTGAATGGCAGAGCAAACTCATTGGGCCAAATTGCCTACTTCTGCTCGTTTCCATGATCTGCTATTTGCATGAAAAATTATCAGCATTTAACAATTTAGCATTCATTTATTGTGTTTCAGTGAATTCTGAGATTATGATTCTAAGCAGTTTGTGGTAATAATTTATAACCGTATATGAATAATGGATAGATTGCAATAAACTATACCAAATACAGCTTAATCCCTGAAAATACTATTTGCTGTGCCAATAATGGACATCTTGCCCTCATTTGCAAGTTGTTTGTTTTGCCTCCTTGGGGGGTTTGCATGCTAACCATCATCTCCGAGTTACATTGGTAATCAATGCCTTTCTGTAATTGCTAATAGTCAAACAGACTAGCCGAACACTCAGTTTTTAATTTGCTCCCCTGGAAGTGGCATTAGACTTTGTTGGGGGTATATCATATATTTTGTCATGATATTGTCCAATGTGAATTGGTTTTCAACTTTTAAAGTTGGAATCAAAATGCAGACTATTCGCAGCAGAAACTTATTCTATGTAAATTCCTTTGAATAGTACAGTGTATGTTTAAGTTTGAACTAGATATTGAATCAACTGAGTTCATATGTTGTCTGACTACTTTTTTTGCAGTAACAATGGGGGTTGATGAAGGTAGAGCAGTTGATATTTTATCTGGACTTTCAAAAGGCATTTGATAAAATGTGACTTGGAAGACTTGTTCAGAAAGGATAAGCTCATGTTGTCCATCTGGCAACATTTCCAATTTACGCCTGCTATCACCTACTTACCAAATTGCAACTCTTGATTGAGCTGACAGTATGACAATCTTAGCAATAAAAAAATAAGTAAATCCTCTGTAGTACTGAGTGGTAGATCTTTAATACTCCAGAATTCCTTTTGGTAACTGGTGAGCTTGCTCATTGGGATCTGCAGAGGGCTGTCCTGGCCAGTCACTTACAACTGTACTTTTAACTCGAGTGAAGAAAAGTTTAAAGGACTTGATTGTATTGGGCTCGGAATGATTTAACTATCACCTGATGCATATTGTCAGCAAATGTTGATATTTTCTCACATAATATAAATTCACAAGAAGAGAAGTAGGCTATTTGGCACTTGACCCTGCTGCATTATTCAATAAAATCATGGGACATCCATTTGTGGTCTTTATCCACCTTTACTGTCCACCCAACCCTCAATCCTTGACTCTCTTGTCCATCAAAAATCTATCTAACTCTGTCTCGAATGTACCAATGACCCAGCCTCCCCTGCTTTCTGTTGATGCGAACTCCTCATACACTCACATTCTTCCTCACTGTCTTAAAAGGGAAACCTCTTGATGTTAAACTGTGTCCGCTAGTTTGAGTACCTCACACCCCCCGATTCAGACACAAAAACACCCTCATGGTATCCACCCTGTGAAAACCCTTCAAATCTTGTGTTTCAATATGATCAATTCACATTCATATAAGCTTCAATGGATCTTGGCCCAATTTCCTCAGATGTCCTTCTTCCCAGGAATGAGTCAGGTGAACCTGTGGATGCAAAGAGGATGCAAAAGAATTTTGATGAAATGGACAAGGCTTTGGCAGATGAAATACAATAAGGAAAAATCTGACGTAATTCACTTTGGTAGGAAAAAAAAGAGGAATAGTTTGTTTTTAATGGTGCAAGTGATTCTAGGAAATATTGATGTTCAGAAGAATCTTGGACTGTCTATATTTGAATCACAAAGTTAATATGCATTTGTGAAGCAAATGGCAAGTTGCAAAGGGGTTGGGGTATAGAAGTAAAGAAGTCTCAGTAATTGTTTTGAGACCACACCTGGAGAACATGATGTACAGTTTAGTCATCTTACCTAAAGCAGGATTTACTTGCATTAGAGTGCAACATGGATTCACTAGACTGATTTACTGAGATGAGAGACATGCTGTTTGAGAGAT